AGACCTAAACTTTTGTATAAAATAAACCTAAAATAAACAAAAGGAATCCGTCCAACGGGGGACACATCAAAGGAAAAACGAAATTGTAATTTTTATTGGAGTTTACTCCTTAAGAATCGATTTACATATATAGGCCCGGGGTATGAAAATTATGGGGACCAAAATCGTACTAGAGAGTATAGCATGTCACACGAAATGCGTTATGCGCCTGATTGGCCAGGTGATGCGTGCGCGCGCCAATCAGGAGCCAACGCGCGGCCGCGTTATCGCAGGTGACGCCGGGCTGCTGCGCCGGCAGTCCGCCACAAAGCCTCGTACTGATCGCGCGTTTCTCTCATTATTGTATTTTCATATATTTGTTAGTCGTTTGTTTTGTGTCTCGTTAATTTGTTAATAATCTGTAGTGTATCGTGTTGTCGTAATATAGAACTATTTCTCGTATTGTTTCGTTTAATTTACCGACATCGTTTTGCTTGTGGCCGGACGCCGTTCGGGTTCGATTCCTGAACGTATCAACTGTTAGTGGGTTGATACCCGAATATAACCCGCTACAAATCATTTATTAATAAAGCTTATTAAATATAAACAATTCCTTCTATCAGTGAATGGACAACTTATATATTAATTGTAAAAGTGAATTATATAGACTTACTTAATTACCGCATCCACGTGTTCCGGAACTCCCGGATCATTCTCACTAGAATACGTAACTTCCATATTTTACTGTATTCAACTGACACAAATTTATATTTATATCCAGTAAACTCCAGTCGTGCGTCGGAGCGGACACACACACTTTTTTTTTAATTCCGAGCATTTTCATATTTTTCTACCTTTTAAACTTTTAAACGTTTTAAACCTTCTCTGGGCTTCCACAAATCATTCAAGACCAAAATTAGTCAAATCGGTCCAGCCATTCTCGAGTTTTAGCGAGACTAACGAACAGCAATTCATTTTTATGTATACATATTACTAGGTAAAGTATAGTATATAGTGTTAGTATATATAAAGTCGTCTATATCTAGCAAATTTTATAGCTAGTCGTAGGTATAAAATTATTTTTTAACTACTACATAATTTTTTTTTTACCATAAATTGAATTAGACCAGGCAAAAGGAGGCGCCCCGCCCCAGCTAACTGTCTGATTCGGCTAATATAATTCCTACTTAACTCATATTTCAACATTTCACTTAACTTAAAGTGGGCATTGCTGCTATTAACAAATAAGAAAAGCGCTCCAATTGATTTGTTTATAAAATTTATGTATTTCTTTAATGAAATATGTGGAATAAACTATTTTAGAACACCAATGGGTTTCTAGTAACGCAGAGTTAAGCCACTATCGCGCCATATTTTCTCAACTTCATAAATAGGATATTGTTAGCGAGAAAAAAAAAACTCGTAACTATATTACAGTCCCTTCATACAAGGGTTGTTTGTCGCGCGCGCACACATTCACATAATGAACCTTTTACAATAACATCAAACTATTTACTTTCATATCCATCGAAAAGGGCTTCGAACACAGGTTTGTTCAGTCTTCCGAAATTTTTTTACTAGATTATTGTGAAGATCACATACTTCGTAACGACCACTTTTGTAGATAGATCATTCATTGTTCGTTTACTAGACAAGGAGTGGTAAATACTTTTTTTCATTTTGGTAAATTGATTCCTAGATAACCTCAATATCTATGTGCGCGATGATTATTACGATCGAATTTATTTAAATATTATCGGTTACCAAACGATTTTTGAATACATATTTAATGGCCATCAAAGGTAGATAAGCGTGTCGCACTTTCTTGTCGTAAGTGGACACCGGCAATGCCAATAGCTTGGTTAATTTTAAAGACGTATTTCAGAATCTTAAAAATATAAGCTTTTAATGTATACATATTTGTAAGTAGTACATACTACGCAACACGATGGCACATTGCTTAACAGTTTTAAAACTTTTACATTAAGATAGCGAACCTAATCCATAACTGTGACCTCAATCGATCGAATGGTATTCTAGTTTAAAGGTGACGCAGAGAATAGCTTTGATTTCACATTAAAGATTAGGTTTTTTTTATTTCTATACACCAGCTTTTAGGTAGCGGCTTGGCTCTGCCCCTGGCATTGCTGATTTCCATGGGCGTATTCTAGTCTGCCTCCAAAAGCAATCTATACTAATATTATAAAGAGGAAAGATTTGTTTGTTTGTTTGTTTGTTTCGAATAGGCTCCGAAACTACTGGACCGATTTGAAAAATTCTTTTTCCATTAGAAGCCGACATTGTCCCTGATGAACATAGGCTACTTTTAAAAAAAAAAAAATATTTTATTTTTTTGGTTTCATGTGTGTTTTAATGTTTCCGAAGCGAAGCGAGGGCGGGTCGCTAGTAAATAAATAAAAAGCTAACCAGAGCACCGGTCTATTTGATTTTCACTGGTTGCTCATTACAATGGGCTCACTTTGAAACCTGCTCAGATTAAAGCTCCAATTGCATCGGAGTGATCAAATAACTAGTACCTTGGTACCGTCCCGCGCGTATTCACAGACCACCAGTTAAGTTTGTTTAATCACATCGTTCTAAGGCTTTGTTTATTTATCTCAGTCGATGTTATTGTTATTCTGTTTTCGCCAATTCGTAAATAGGTCCTAGGTTGTTTACGTTTACATATTATTATATGGTAATGAGTTGCTTAGAGCCCCTGCAGGCGCCGTTCGTTTCTTGTCTCGTAAACGACTCATTATCATAGAAAAAACAAATGGGTTTGCTATTCGCTTGAATGTTTTCGGCAAGTATTCTTTTGTTGTTTCGTTATAATTGCGAGTCCTCGTTGGCCGCAGATCAGTAATGTCTCACGTATTAAATAACAATTTCCCTACGATTCGACAGCTCTATATGTCTTCGGAGATACGAAAGGGCGGGGGATGGTTGGCAAGGGCGAAGTTGATATAGGATATCACGTCTAATGGAATCGATAATAATACGTTTTCTTATCGTGCCTAGACAAGTGACTGCTCAGAACCGAATTACTAGTTACTACAACGAAATCTTGGACTGTGGTGACATATCGTCTTCTCTCATTAAAACTGTATAATCTCAAAACAAAACTAATTTTACAGGAGAGTTTTTTTAAAGTTCAACATGTTATATTTTTAATATTAATCATATTTGCAACATTTTTTTTTATCAGTTACATTATCTGTCTTTTAAAGTAAGATAAAATTATTTATTAATTTTGTTAATAGTAGTCAAAACATAATTAAGCTAAAAAAAACTAAAACTAAAACTAAACTACGCTCTTTTTTGGCAGTATTTATGAGAAAAATTCTGGTGATACCAAATGTTTACGCATATTAACTCAATTTTGAATATTTTTTGGAAATTGTACACTTTTAATACGAAAAAGCGATATGGTGAAAAAAAGAAATACGTATATCTGATCAGCATCCTTCATATTATTATAAACGTTTTGGTTTGTTCATTGTGCGTGTAAAGTTCGTTGATTGTAGCGCCCATTGTGCCACCGATCTGTTTACATCTGGCACGAAGCAATCGTCAATTCCGTTTTCAGGGTACGATAGTCTTTATTCCAGTGCACGTACGTGTTCTGACTACGTTCGGATTTGATCTCCTCAAGCTGTTCATGTGAGCCCCTTTTTCGCTTGGCACTAGGTGGGCTCTGACCTTCGCCTACCCATATTTTAGATTTAAAAAAAAACCTTAACCAGATTTCAAAGCTAATTAACGTTTAACAACAGCATGGTGTAGACATAAAACCTTCGTTCCCATCATAAATCCCTTAGTCTTTATATATAACAAATAAAAAAAAACGACAGTGACGTACCGTGACAGTTTCAGTACCGAAATGTATCCAAATTAAATTCGTCTCACAGAAGTCATTCGCGGTGGGTGGGTGGTCGTAAAACTTGTAATGGTGACCAATGATAAGCGTGACCCATTTAAATTTACAGCTTCGGAGTCTATAAAATGTTTAGCAACGTAGCGCGTAGTGTACGATGTTCGAAATCGAGTATTGAATGTTAATTTCATAATGCCGTGTATCCATTAGGGGCTAATTCGAGCTTAGAGCGCCGGTATCTACATTGATAATTCTGTAGGAGTGCAATCAAGGGCACTGCATTAGGTTCCATTAGCTGATGTGCATAGACGCGCACTAATACATATCATTGATACTGAGTAATGCATCTACATTTTTAATGAAAAAATTCTAGAACCGTCTGTCTGTTTTCCAGAATCGAACTGATTCGCATGAAATTTTCAGAACCGTAATTGAATTTGAATTCAATAATTAATTCCGCGCTGTCTGACTGTGACAACATTTCATTATTGAATCAGATATAATTGCGGGCTGTATTCACGTAGAGAAAGCAATAGGCCGCCACACTGAAACAAATCACTTTGGGAAACAAAAAATATAGATTGCCGCCTTAAAAACTGATCGAGTCATTTGATAATAATTGAAACGATGTTATCAAATAACTTCACACTCAAGGTAGAAAAGGAGGCAGAGAGAGTGAGATAGGTCTTCTGCGATAACAATATCAGTGATCCCTAAATATTCTATAGGAAAGATAAAATTCAGTCCAATTCAGCCAGTTACATAAGCGAGGCTGGGGGAGAGCTTACGTAAGTTGGTCTGGAGCTTTGGCGACTAAGTTAGAATGTATACTTTAATACGTGAGCAGCAAAAGCTCCGTAGTCTGAGACGAAACCCGAAAAGACTATTACAATATTTAAACGACCGCAAAACTTTTCAATCGTTGTTATTAGTCATTTTAACTTTTGCAATAATAATAATAAAGTATTTAAATTTTTAATGATGAGCAATGAATGAAGGAACTATATAAATGTGTTTACTATCTCGTTGCTCTTGTTGTGTAAATATGCAAATAGCAACCAACGGTCGCGTTTGTACGTTGGGCAAATAGCGAACCGGCGGACGAGCCAACAGCATCGCAACCCCGACACTCGTAAATATTTACCTCCAATCCAATGTTGTCAACTCCGAAACACTGTATTTTTCGTTTTATTTCACTATAATCAAACACAAATCCTGCATGGTACAACGACACTGCACATAAACTTTACGATATTATTTTTATGGAACGTTTGAATCAGTGGGTAGGACACGTACGTACACGGCGGTGTTCGACACGTTACTGACGACCGGCAGCCGGCACCGACTCCCAAACTCCCGTATTCGAGGTCTTCACGAGCATTAGTGACTGAAAACCAGTGGCAAAGGTCATGGTTATGCGACAAATATTTCGATTTCAATTGGATTCATAATACAATAGGTTGCTCAGTTTTTTTTTAATTGACACTGGGGCTTCGAGTTTTGACAGTCGAATTTTGTTTGTGGTAATCGCCCCCAGCTAGTACAGTCTAGGGAGAGTTTCACGATAAGTAGTTTCTATGCGGTATGCAAGGCTCGGATTATCATTGAATATTAATTAGGTTGGCCTTGTGCTCTTGAAGTAAAACACTGGCCGCAAAGTTTGGTTTCGCTACGCGTTGTTGAGCGCGTGTTACCGTTTTCACATAAATTCCGCATCCAGCATGTTTTTAGCCTAATGTAAGCTTTTAAAAGCCCTAATGTTATTTTGAGATCCGGATTTAAGGCAAGCCGGTTGCGGGCACGTTTAAGCTTTCGGGTAATAAGCTTTTATTGGCAATATCTGGATCGGTTTTGTGTGCTTTTATCTTAATAATGTATTACGGTTAATGGTTACTTTGGCATATCTTTAGATGGCTCTGCGCGATGTTATTCTTGAATTGACATTTTGGTTCACCTACTTACCATATTATATTGAACAGTTAAAATGTATCTTCCACTGGTAGAACATTCAACGCACACAATTCAATGCGTTCTCGATGTAGCGATGCAACCAGGTTTTAGGTTTTTTGAAGACTTTTGGTTAGGACAACGTCTACCTGACCCGCCGGGATACTATAGATATTTCTGCGACAGCTTTTAAGTAATTTCTTACAATATTTTTTCTAAAATGAATATTAGTCGAAACGTCAAGAAACATAAGAAAGATACCGGCACGAATCTGGACAAATGCGATGCTTTTTCAAAAAGTACATTAGACCTTTTGCTTCTTGCGTTCGGTTATTTTGTCACTATCGCGCATCAATCGTCTATTATCTACATAGTTATCGGCTTCCGTGTCTGCAAACATCTGGTACGACAAAACATTGTTCATCAGAACTGCATGTACTAGCGTTAGGCTTAGTGTTGTCGCTTTTCTCGTGCGAAACGTCGCGGGCTTGAGACTGGGAACCTATTTTCAATCTTCACAGAAGCTAAAAGCACTTCGATAACATGAGATGTGCTTACAATGGACATCACATCATTAGACCTTAACAGGAAGAAGAAGAGGAAGAACTTAATCTGGCTTATGTAAATACTGGCTACTCATAAATTTTTGTAGTGCAATATAAATTATATTTTTCATACTCATTTAGAGAAAAATCCAGACCAGACATTTTCCCTTTTGCCTAAAATTCGACCTCGCATCTGCCTCGCTCTGTTATTTATTTAAGACCTGACAGTTGAATTCGTTTTTAGGATTCTCTAAACGAATGTTGAAAAAATCCAAAGCATTTTGTTTCGTCTAGTCGTAGAATCTATATGGTTACACCTGTTTCATCCACAGCAACTGTTAGCACTATAGTATAGACAAAATTTGGAAAGTTGCTGTATTCCATAAATCATTATAAAATGTTGTATCGAAAATCATGTGGAAAATCACGTATAAATATTACGGCCAACATTCTATGAAGTTGACCGGTAAAAAAAATCGTTTGCACACGGCATATCAGAAAAAATGATTTTTATTAATGTTAAATTTAATTATTAATTAAATTTAATTAATAATTTCATTTTAAGTTGATAGTTTAAGAAACCTTTCAAAACTGTTAATATTGTATTCCCCTACAAAACAAGACATGTGGTTTTGAGCAGAACCTTTCCGGTAACTCTAACGTATTGAATTAAACACCTATCTACTTGAATTTCAAACGTGAACGTGTTCACATGATCTGCGGAACCCTCGTTGTGCGCGACCAATGTCCATTCGTACGGATTTTGTTTTTGTTACACGTCCCAACTTCATATTTAGTCCTTCCTTTGTTTGAGTGATTTGTTGTTACGAAAGAAAAACTCATGGGCAGTATGGCGGTGGTATGTTGTCAGCCCGATCGGATCAGTATCTCTGTTCCGTGTGTGTAGTTCTACCGCGAATCTTTAGCCTGTTTTTATTGTTTTAAATGAGTTACGTCGTGTTAAGTGCTAACAAGACCGATTACTTCAACAACGATATCAATACCTCCCACTGCGTAAACGAATCGAACTTAATTAAATTACTAGCGGCATGGTGTATGTGTGTGCGTGCGTGTAGTTAATCACACGTGCAAGAGCACATGTCAGATTTTTTTCATCCTGCCCACTTCTGCCGCGATAGTACAGTAGTCATGCCTGGTACCCACCCGTGCGGACATCGAACGCTACTGGTGACATCGCAAGTTTTACAATTTTTAAGCTATTACATAGGTTTTATCGCGGGCCTTGAGCGCGGCTTGAGAGCGGAATCATGAAATTCCGTAACGAAAAAAACCTTCCACCCCTCACTACGCCTACTATGTAGCTCGCGTTCAACACATTCACACGTTGCGCTTGTGTAGTGTTTAAAGTAAGAAATCTAAACACCGATTTATGTACTTTCAAAATATGTGATATAATTTCTTGGGTAACACAACGATAGCGCGATTCAGCTTTTGCGTCAAGCGCCATCTATAGCCGACAAACGGAATTGTAAAATAGAAAATTATATCACATTACAATGCGTTGGGCATGCCCAATTTCTATCGCTTAGTCGAAGAATTTTATCATTATTCCTACTACTCATTCAGTGATTGCTAAACCGTTGATTCTGGGCGAATGAGAATTAGAACTAGCATCCAAAGGCGTGTCTCTATCCCATGTAGCGCCCTCTAGTGAGTGCGCGGTCAAAATGGGATACTCACAACGTAGCAGATTAATTGAAAGTTAGCCCACTGAGTTTCTCGCCGGATCTTATTTTATTGTTGTTTTAATATTAAATTATTATTGTCGATTTATAATTGCATAAGTTGATAAAAAATGCTATGCAATAGCTTTACCGCGACAGTCTCCGAGTGCCACACGTCTTTTTGAAGTGAAAACTTCTTTAGAATCGTTGTGATTTCAAACCGGATGCAACGGAAAAAACGACAAGTAAGAGACACAAATACAAAAATGTGTAGGATGAAGCCAGCAAAGAATGAGACAGAAATATACATACTATTTAATATATATATATATTTTTTATTGCCTTTGTAGGCAGACGGGCATACGGCCCACCTGATGGTGAGTGGTTACCGTCGCCCATGGACTTCAGCAATGCCAGGGGCAGATCCAAGCCGCTGCCTACCGCTTAATACTCTCCACAAGCCTCGTTTGAAGAAGGACATGTCATAGCGCTCGGGAAACACCGTGGAGGGGAGCTCATTCCATAGCCGGATGGTACGTGGCAAAAAAGATCTCTGGAAACGCACTGTGGATGATCGCAGTGGCTCCAGGTAGTATGGATGAACTCTACTCCGGTGGCGGGCGGTGCGATGGTAAAAACGAGATGCTGGTATCATCTCGAACAATTCCTCAGAGCACTCCCCATGGAACATACGGTACAAAATACAGAGGGAACCGAAGTCCCTCCGCAGACCCAGAGGCTCTTAATACAGCGCCATCTGTGAGATTTTTTAATACTAACGTGTGTATGAAAGCTCTTGTAGTGAATTTTAATTTAGGATTATACGTGAAATTAAAATATCAATTCACAGAGGGCGCTACCTTACAATTATTTACTAATGACAAAATTTTACATATACTTAAGACGTTTAGGATAATTGTATTTTAATTTTGGAAGGTTTCACTTCTACCACGTGTGAATTGCACACATGTATTTTTTTTTTTATTATTGACGTATTACGGGTGGCCCAGAGGCCTTTCCAGTTTCACCAGGACAGGCGGGCGAGCAAAGGCTTAGCCAGGAAGGGGCAAACAAATTTTACTGGTTTCTTTTTGTTACGTGTTGCTATTTCTTCATTGTGGAAGGTATTCTTGTACTCAAGTTAGGTACATACTTGAAGCATTTTCCTTGTGCCGTTATACGCGACAATCTAAAATTTGAATGTGGCTGCTTTTGATGTTACACAAAGTATTTAAATGTTAACATAAAAGGTTTATTTACGTAAGCACTTTAGGGATTTCGTCTCTTTTTCGTTATTATGAAAACATGACGTCATTTTTATTGTTCAACGCCGGCAGTGACTTGTATATCTTGATGTTAGAATGATAATAACACAATAAAAGTCAGTACAAAAGCTAATTACGCAAAACGTAGATCCGGTGTATATTTGAAGTTTAGGTTAGTGCCTGTGGTCTTTTAGTTTCGAACACGGTATTGGAACTATTCCTGGCTGAGTCCTTAAGCCCACCCACGCATTCTGGCAAAGTTAATCGCCTGAAGTCAGGGAAATGCTATTACTGAAAAAAAAACATTCCGTATTTATAGTCATGCTAGGGTGTAAGTAGTACCTTTCCATGTACTTTGTTTCGTAGGTGGGTAGTTCGATGATAGTTCCAAACAAATGACGGAACTTTTATTTTTTTTTATGCTTAGATGGGTGGACGAGCTCACAGCCCACCTGGTGTTAAGTGGTTACAGAAGCCCATAAACATTTACAACGTAAATGCGCCACTCACCTTGAGATATAATTTCTAAGGTCTCAAGTATAGTTCCCCACCCTTCAAACCGAAACGAATTACTGCTTCACGGCAGAAATGAGAAAAACACTCTAGCTTCATAGATACAAATCAAACTTCGACCTCATGTCTTGAGGCAGGTGATGAAGTTGATGTCGTGATATCTGGGTTCTGATTACCACTCAGGAGCGGGTAGGTCGAATAAAAAAGTAAATACGTTGGTCGAGTTTTCTCTGGACATTTTTAATCAGAGTGTTGCGGTGACCGGTTTCGGCGAACTCCGGGTCCGGGACCATTAATCTCGTACATTCATTATTCAAGCTACTGTTTAGATTGGACGTACCGACCTCCCGTGAGACGGCATCCATCTTGAGGCGTTTGTTTCCGTCGCT